GCCTTGAAATGCTCTACTCCTAGTCTTCGTAGATTTCAGAATCCTAATCCAGAACGGTTTTTAAATTCAAGTAACATAGTTCTGCCCCTGATGTCTGTACTTAGAGCTTGCGGCGAAAAACGTAGTTTTTTGGATTGAGTGACAAAAAAAAAACTTTTTTATATCTCAATACATAATTATTAAATGTAAGAATTTACACAAACGTCTCATCTACAAGACATCCACGATTGATATAAATTGAAAAGCGAGAGAAGGGTAGACTGGGGCTTGTGGAGTAAGAGTGATTCTGAGAGTGAGTGTGAGAGCGAGCGTGTGCGTGTATGAAATGTAAAGAGATTGAGGGGGAACATGCGGTCGTGATTTTTGGCATCAGGCAATTTTAATTAAGCGCCGTAATACCATACATTCTCTTTCAGCTTTTTTAACAATATGTTGATTTTTCTTTCCATTCATGACATTAATATATTTGTAGTCGGATTTGACAGTAACTCACTGAATGAGAAAATGAATATCAGCTTCACTTTAGTAAAGAACAACACATTTATACTTATTGTACTTTGCTAAAGAGAGAACCGAAACAAATTCAGACATTTTTCGATTTTTCCCATATGGGCGTCATGATGCTCGAAAGATTTTACAATTTTCACGACAAATGGAAGTTTGACGGAAGCGAGAACACAGAGATTTGAAAAGGTTGGCTACACACAAGTAAATCTCGACAAGCTGATGAGACTCATTTCGGGAACCAACACCAACTCAAACCGAAGGTGAATTTTCCAGCCCCACAAATGAAACCGCCAGAAATAAACATTTCAGTTCGGCGTCCTCCGCCCTTCCGACCCCTTCCTACACACACACACACACATTTTATTTTTTCTGCCCCTTCCCGCCGTCGCGCCGGCCCGCCATAGCAGGTTACGTAACCAATGTTGACATCCGCGGGTTGTGGCTTCACGATGGCGAGAAGGGGAAGGGAGCGGTGAGGCGGGAAGAGCAGTAGCCAAGGTTGGAAAGGTGCGCCGCGCCGCGCATCATCTCCTCTCGTCTCGCGCCAACTTCCCGGCGCGGCGCGGCGGCAGGGAGCGCGCGCGCGGTCGCCAACGCCGCCGCGCGGAAGACGCTTCTCGTAAACAGAATCACACTGCGCGACCGGACCGGAGTTCCGGACCGCACGGGGAAAACCCTTTCACGCCTGCCCTAAGCGGGGATGTTCATTGTGAGAACATTTACACACAAAAATTCACAACATTAATAACTAACTAAATTTAACCCACAGTTATGACTAACGAGGGAAATAATTATTTGATTAAATATTTCCATCAGTAGTTTTCAACCCGCGGCCCGTAAACAAATAATCAATTTAACTTCTTTATGGCCTGATGCTTAAGTTTTGTCGGCTAGCAAACAAATACTACTTTTAAGTAAAAATAAAACTAGTACTCCATTTGTGTTAGGTAAGTAATATTTTTTTTTTTGTTATTAAGAAATTAATACAGCCCGCTAGTGTTTGGCCAAAAAAGAAAATGGTCCTTTAGATAAAAAATGAAGACCACATACTTGAATGAATAATTAAAAAGTCCTTTCATAAAGGGTTTTTTTATATAGCTAGAGCCGTAAGTAAAACTCTTGAAAATCTTTATTTACAAGGGTTTCATAAAAAAATATTTTGACGAATTTGTAGCTACTTGACTGTCCGGGAGATGCCGCGCTCTAGGCACAGACGTGTTTTGGTCGCTATTCTGCGACCTTCCTCAGAGCGAAATGCCTCGTATGGCAGTCAGCTACTGACTCCGGCCACAGAAACCTATGCTCTGATCCTGGCGAATGTTCTTGAGAGTACTCTTGCAATCTTGACGTTCAATCGCGTGTTTTTAATACGTTTATAAAGTCGAGACTTTTCTATCAAGAAGTTCATCGTTGTCTCTATCTTGATTCACTTAGTTTGCTTGAATTTAGCGAACCAGGATTGCACGTTAGCAATTAAACGTGCGCCACTGAGAACTATCCTCAAATATATTGGACAATCCACAAATCGCCCGTCCCGCCGTGAATCGAACAGTGCCGCAGCAAACGCGAAGATACCACCAGATGGAAAAGAAGAAACAGCAGCAGCAACAGAAGAAGAAAAAGAAGAATGGGGAGAAGGAGAAAGAAGAAATGCGAAAGAAGAAAGTAGCGGCGGAAACTGAGACAAATGTGAAATTCAGTTTTGGCTGATCAAAACTTAAATAACCACTGACGAGAATCCCAATCGATTAGAAATCAGGAGACAGTTTCTAATTGACTTAATAAGCACGGGGGAGACAATGGATTCCTGACATCGCTGCACCGTTAAAAGCCGAACGCAAAGATTCGTTTCCCGCCACAGGCTTCGAAGCCAAGCCAAGCCGCGGATTGCGCTGTCCGCCGAACTTGACCTCCCGGGGGCGGGGGCCGGGCCGGCGCCCTCCGTCCCGCGTGTAGTCAACCAGGCAGCGAAGCGCCCGGATTACCCAACGCGACAGAGCGCGACGGCCGCGACCTCTGACATGCGCTGCAGGAAGTCCTACTTACGCGCGCGCCGCGGCGCCGCCGCCGCCGATTGCTCCCGCGAAAATACGCGCGGCGACGGGAGGCGTGCTCGTTCTCCACTCGCAGCGTACCGCTCGAGGAAAGAACGTAGTATAGCCTCAATAGCACATGCTGTGAATAAGTACAACTGAATGCAAATAATTAATATTGTTGCACATGCTCCGAGTTAGAAAACTTACGAATTTGGTGCGTCGTAATGACGGCTATTAACAAATAATATTCCTTTCAATACAAGCTACATTCAGAACACAGACTACAAATTCACCGCATTTTGGAACATTCCTTTCCTTCCATAACTCATTCAATACTCCATTGCAATGTGTTAAAAACATACTTTTTATACGTAAATTATGAAGCTGTCTTGGCATTTCCGTGAGACTTGTTTGGGAATGGTGCGAGTGACGAGAAAGGAAAATATTTGTTTTCCGTTAGGCATCAAAAGAACAATTTCACTTTTATATTCAAAGCCAAATCTACGGTGGCTTTTATGACTAGATTCGTATAGAGGTATCCAATAATTCCAATATTTTCAGTAAAAAGGTTTTACGCGTAAACTGATGAGTATTAAAGGAACAAAATTATTAATAATTAAAATTGTCCCATTATAAGAATAAAATTGCGTGTGAAAACTTATGTTTGCAAATACAATAGTAGTATATAAAAATTAGTTAAATCTCAAATGACTAATACTGTAAAAGCAGTTTCCGTAGGATAATACCTTAAGTGACAGTTTCGCTGATGTCAACAAAAAAACCCACGGTGAACGGGATAATGGCAAAGTAAAATAAAATAAAAGCAAAGTAAAAGGTACACCTTAAATTACGTAATTATTTATGAGAAAATGAGTAATCCGAAGAATTCCCCTTGTTTTGTGTGAGAATTAGAGCGAGTTCTCGTTTTCTGATTGTGGCAAATCACTACGTACCGCATCTTCCATAATTTCATCCTATATAGTCCGAGAAAAAAACACAGTAACTATATTTGTTTTTTCTTTCGAAATCAAGTCGAACAAAGACTTTCGCATTTCAAGAAATTAATTATAGCCTGGAATCTAATCCCTTGTATTTGTCATATGCAGCTAGGGCGCTTTCTCCAATCCACAAAAAACAATTAGGATAGTCATACAAAAAACACGATTAGGAATCTCAACAAATACATAAAATATGCAGAAGTATAATTGCGATGAAGTTCTTCACAACGTACATCCTATTAGTCTAATAATACAATTTCGTAAGATTCATTGTGTTCAATCCTCAATTTGCACTCACTCAACAGATTCATTTGAAAATTACAAAACGCTATCTTGAAATGCTGAACTTTCAAATTAGATTTTCAGATTTCTAAACCCCCTAGATATGTTTTTGGTTTACAGTTTAAGCATAAAACAATCAACATACAAAGTATTTACAACCCTCCTTCTTTTCTAAATTGTTGCGCTGACTATAATAAATTTAAGACACCTTGCTCGAATTATATATAATTTGAACTTGTCCAATAACATGTTACTTAATAAGTTATAAGGAGTTACTATGAATCAACTCAAGATACAGAGCGAGTCAATATGTATTCCTAACGTATTATCTTTTTACAGCGAAATTATAACAAAATTTTACCCCATTTTTGACCTCCTGAGCTTGTAATGTTCGCTGACAGTGACGTACATGAAGCAACAGCGTTGAGCCGCCGATCGAGACGGGGGCCCAGGGACCCAGGAGTCAAGACGAGCCCAGTAGCTGGCTGCTAAACACAACCCTGTCACTGACATTCACAAACTAACGAGAGCCAAAGCTACACGATGCATACACTGAATGTATATTGAATATACATTAAATAATACTGCTTCACTTCCTACGTCGTTCTCACAATTGAGGTCGTGAGACTAACCATTTACATAGCATGACCGCGGACTACACACCGCCTCTGTAAACAATGACATTTTCTGGGCAGTAAGAGTTGACGTCCAAGAATAAAAATATATGGACTAACTTGGCTTAAAATAATAAACTCTCATATCGTTATATCGGCAGCGTCTGTGGGAATTCTTACAAAATTTAACAGATTTGTGGTGTATGCGAGTGAATAAATTTCAATTTAGGGGAAGATAAAAACTCCCCAAACATATCATTAGCAATATCTACCTAATTTGAATATACTCCATTCAAAACGCAAATGTGCATAGTTTATGGTTATGACAACACTATTTTATCTTATTTTACACCTTTCTGACCAGTAACTATCAACAAACATAATATCAAAAACAAGAAAAAATGCGATCAAAATTTCAATTTTAAATATTGCAGAAAGGTTAAAATCATCTGTCACTGGGCACATAACATTAATTTGTCCAACAAAACTCATTACACCCAAAATCCAACTTGTGTGAACAAATTCAAATTGCATTTAAATTTATAAAATATAGCTTATACTACCTGTATGCCAAGGACATGCACTGGAAAAGTTTGGTGAGAGATGTTTCAATGGAGACTTGTTGTGTACTCTTCTCAACATGATTAAAACTGGAAGGTTCAGCAACAAACTTTGCATCTTCATTTGGAATTGGAACAGCAACATCACATTCATCGTCCTCAGCTTCTGCCTCAAAATGAGACACCATGAAGTGGCCAGAATGGATACTCTCCTTTTCTGGCTTCTTTTGTCTGTTATCCACAGAATCACTTCCCTGCGTCATGATGGTCACTTTTCGATATACGAGCTCACCACACTGCATTTGTATAGGTTTCAAAAGATGTCATTGACACAAGCACAGTTACAACAACGTTGTAATGCGATCACTTACTACACACACTACCCATTCTCGCAGCTGTAGCCATGTTATCATAAAATTGTGACGTTCACAACGGAGAAGCCGCTGCGCTATCTGCAGAGGGGCTCATGTAACTGCGCTAAAGCTACCAACTGTTAAATTTAAAATACAACATACAGATGTAACATTCGGTTTATGTAATCCTCAAATATACGATATCATGTTGAACATTTGTACAGCGAATAGTAATTAAATCCTATATTAATTAATAAAATATTCATTTCAAAAATTTATTAAGTGTAAAATAAGAATATATTTAGGTGACATATTGCAATTGACTTTGTTTTGATGGTATTTATACTTTCAATTATCTGAAGCGCGGAACGTCTAAATCCAAACAAATATTTTCCTAAATGAAGGAATGTCAAGTGTAATGAAAAGTATATCCAGACCTCAATATTTTAATACATAAAGTATGAAAATTAATATATTTTTGAACAAAATTGAACATTTAATCGATTTCAATAATAAACTTAGAAAAAAATCAGAAAACATCAGTTTTTATTAGCATGGATAGTTTGGGTACTTTGGTACACTACATTTTGGAACATTTTTTGCCTAAGTGCAAACCACATACATTATTTTTGAATCGCTGAAATTAATTAGAAAAATATTCAATAAACTCACGAATCACATTCTATACTGATGTAAATAAAGATTTTGAGAGAAATAGATAAAAATAAAATAATGTTTTCCTTAATGTGATAGAATATGTGGATAAAAACATATCTGTTAATTTAATTAATTTATTGTCGGTATTGATGATCGACATATTGATAATGCTGACATGTAATGTAATGTAATGACATGTAATGTACTGTAAATGAAATAGAGGCACCGTTCCAAGTCAAGCCACCGGAATGAGCCTCATTGTATCTATTAAGGTTCTCAAATCTTTTATTTATCCTACCATTTTCTACCTGCCAAATTTGTATCTAATGTCTGTTTTAAGGTTTCACACAAACATTACAAAACTTTGTGTACAGGGCTTAGTGGTTACATCTGAAAGTCTCAAAAGAAGTTTGCTTTGGTGGATATATATATTGTTGTAGCTGTAGATGAATATTTATGTAATTAAATCAGTTTGTTAATACTTGTAGATTTATAACTAAATTGTTTAATATTTACAGGGTTACTTGAGAGTATTTTTTATTTGATGAAGGCATACAAGGCAAATATATGTTGTTAAAGGAATATTCATTCATCACTTGATTAATCTAAAACCTCATCTGTCTATAACGAATAGAGAGAGAGAGAGAGAGAGAGAGAGAGAGAGAGAAACACTCCCACAAGACAGATCAAGAAAGAATCCAGTGATTGTGAGAAAGAATTTGGTGACTGTTTCCATATCCAAATCTGAAGTCGTTGGCCATGTGCACTTGGGATGAAAGACAAATTTTCTGTTCTTACTCCTACAGATCAATTTGATGGGCAAATCAGACTTAACTGGAAGGGAATTTGGTTTTCCATAAGGAAAAAAATTCTCAGTTCTGATTACCAAAATTTCTGATGGTGATTATCAATTTAATAGCAAGGGGAAAATTGCAAGTATTGAAAGTAGCCAGAAATGAAAGATGAAATTTGGTATTCATCTGACCTGTTATTGAGAAAGATAAACTCACCAAAACAAGCATCTTCAACTAGGCAGATTTAAATGAAATACATTAAAGATTAATCTCTGAATTTATATTTGTAATAAAAGCAAACTATCATGATTTTTCCCTAATTATTGCCAAGTGAGGTAAAATGAAAACACATGCTTCCAAAGGGAAAATATCAAGGTTAAAGAGTAGTATACCTGAGTCACTCCTGGATGGGGGGACTTATGTGTAACTTTGTATTCATATTTCTATAATACAACAAGAAACAAAAAAATTATCATTGCATAAACAAATTTAAAAAATGGATTTTGTTTGCAACTTTTTGTAAAAAAGTCTTTGATAATGATTGATATAAAAAAAATGTACGTTCTGTAGGCAAATCACTCCAATTTATGGTACATACTCTTCGTAGAGTCTCTCAGTGCAAATAAATTTAATTCTATTCATATGAATAAAAGATTAGTCAGTGCCATGACAAGTTCCTTCAAACAAAATTAGTTACTCTTAGGTTAGATGATTACAATAGTGGTATGTTTTATTGAAACTACAACTTGTTAAGTAAGTTTGTAATGAAAATCAAAGAAATCAATCCTGATAACTAATAAATCCATGTAATTAGAAGTTTTATTTAGGAAATTTAATTGGAATAATTGCAGTTATGTTGCCTTACTTAAGTCCAATTGCAGTTCTAAGAATATATAAGCTAACAGCCAAACTGATCATTGGCAATAGGTTTATTATCCTAAAACTCATATTTAGAAGTGAGATTTGAAGAGGAACTATTGTTGAGTCATTTCTCTCACATTTTCCAAATCTGGAGAAAACAATGGGAATGTTTAATCACAGCAACCTCTAGAAACACTCTTTTGCTCACAGTTACTCATATTTAATAGCGGTGGTATTAAAAAATGTATTATCATTGTTTAGTAGAGAATTAGTGATCAATCTCTATAATTTTAGTGCAAACTGTGTCCTCTTTCATCTTAGATGTTTAGTTGTATAGATCACATATTGCTGAATGAGTAAATCCTCTCTGCTTGAGAATTAGAAATTCTAGTGAATATTTTATCTTTGGTAGAAGGTGATGTTCCTCCCCTACTAGATAGTGAGAATTAGAAATTCTTTTAAATGTAAGTATTTGGAATTATTTTCAAAAGTTGACTAAAATACAGCTCACAACTGGAAAATGGGTGGTCTGTTCTCCTTATTTCAATAAATACATTGCATTCTTAGAGAACTTGCAACATTGAGCAACAAAAATACCCTTGGATTATATTATTTGCATTATGAGGAAGACTGGTTTCTTCAACTACCTACTCTGCATTATAGACAAATGATCACTGACACATTGAAACATAAAAGTTTATCCAATTAGTACATCATTTCTGAAAAGAACAATATCTGATCCTACAGGTTCTTTTTTTAAAGCTGAAAAATTCAACAAAAATCTAACAAAATATTTTCTGACAAACAGAATAGTAAATTCCTGGAATGTACACCCAAACTCTAGAGTGAAATCTAGGAATGTTTTTCCCTTTAAAAGGCAATTGAAAACCCATTTTAGAGTATGAGTGCTGAGCATCACAGTAATGATACTGGTAATAATAACCAAGTAGCTCCAGATTTCTAATCCTTAGAAACAGACAGCTTCACTATCTGTTTCCTTGTGATGATATTACTGTTAGGACAGAAATATCAATAATACGGAGAGAATAGACTTATTCTCAAGTTTTAATGATATCCAGCTTGAACCCAGCAGTTTAATAAAACAAGTGTGGACCACACGAAACCTTTAACAGGGCCACCTTTGTAAAATTGCATAGCAACCCTTGTTGTGTTAGTATCTTAAATAATAAAAATAGCCTTTAACAAATTCCTGTGCCTGAACGTTATGCCACATCTTGAACTATATTCTGACCCAAATTCATGTCTTATGAAACTTCATTATTAAAGACCTACATGTATTATATTTTTAATTTTCCTCTCTATAATATAGTATTGGAAAAAAGTATTTGAATCGCCTCAATAATACAATTTCAAATTTTTGGATGTAATAATTGCATTCAAGGTTATTTTGAACTGAAACTTAACACACACACCAATCAGAATTACGGTTATTAATGCTGTTCCAAAAGTGATTAAGATTGGTGCAGGTAGCGAGGAGGTGCACACAATTTTGTACCTGAAAATTCAATGACTGGATGGATGGATGGGTGAAAGTATTATCATGTATAAATCTGTCAGATTAGAAGCTTTTGAGTTTACATTTGTCAGTATGTCAGTAGTAAGATCTAGTTGTGCTGTTTCAGAGATCTTTAACTTTTTAGGACACTTTAAGATCATAAGATTTTAATTCTTTAGGATACTTTACATGGAGTTCTTGTGACATTTAACATATTTTTGGGTATAGTTTTGAATTTCATTAAAACTTATAAATTTTTCAAAAATATAAAGCTCAAATGTGTTTTTGAACCTCTCCTTTTCCTCCAATATTAAAACTTTCTCTGTGGTAGATCTTTAAATGATGTCAGGCACCTTTTTTAAATATTTGAATAATTGTTGAGTAATAGCACTAAGAAGAGGAAAAGTTTCAGTATGTTGTGGATTCCCATTAGTTTCTCTTGTAATGTATTGTGATGTGCGAGTTTTTTTTTTATTTTTAGCTATATTCTTGTACCCCTTCTTTTTCCTTTGCATTTTCTTGTGTTAACTTACTAAAAATACAAGCAATCAGGACAGAGTATGGTAGTATGCACTCTGAAGCTACAAACCCCTCCATCAAGAAAAAGCCTGATAATTTAAAATGTAGTTAATTAAAATAATAAAATGTAGGTAATGTAGTTGATAGAAATATACCTAAGAAGTGGCAAGGTCGTCTAAGATGAATGAAACCAGATAAATTCTTGACACATCCTGAAATATAGACAAAAAGGAAGGACAGATCTAGGCAGGTCAAAGAAAATATAGGACCGAAAACACCTCAGCAGTGACTAAGGGGAACACGTCTAGAGGCCTAATCCTTATAAGTTCAAGACAATGATATTGATGATGAGGATAATGACGATAATGATTTTCTTGTTTTATATATTTTCTTATGTAGTATTCTTTGTATCTCCGTTTTCATTTACATCACTTTCGTATTTTCTTATGTTTTTGGTTTTATTATTATTATTATTTACACAATTGTATGCTATTCCTGTGTGGACCTTATCAATATGTAAACTGACTGCTCATTACAAATAAAAGAAATAAAATTTAAAAAACTGCCATGATTCCTTTCTCTGTGTTCACCCTACTATTCATACAGTGGAAGCCAAAGGCAAACCACCATTATCATAATCTGCCCACGAAAGGAGGGAAAAAGGCATAAGCCCTCTCTCTCATCTGTATGCAGGTCCCACAAACTTTCAGAGAATTATTTTGTTCATAAGTACATTAGAACAGACTTGTTTTAATGGCTTCATTTTAATAAATCCAACACATGCATACTTGCAGATGATATCAAAGTGTTAAGAAATTTATTTTTGAATGCCTTAATTTGGTATACATACATAATCTCATGTTAACCTCATACAACATCATCACTTATTTACAAAAATAGCCATAAATACAACATATTGCATAGGATGAGTATGATAATCTTCATGAAAATTGATTGGTTGTCAATACAAAACTTAAAAGAAACTTTTAAAATATTAGGTTTTTAACAGGCTAAGCCATTCCCTTTACATTGCTGTAGTTGTTTATAACAACAGTACTGCCATGAATTTTAAAACATATTTTGTTCTCATAATACTGTTCAGATCTAAACTGGTAATGAAAATAAAAAACAAAACAGTTTTCACAAAAATATACTTTGCTAATGTACAACTTAATTTATCAATAATATACTTCAATGTTGATTTTGAAACACTATTTTTATGACTTTTAAAAGCATAAGCACTGGCAGAGTTGACACAAGTACATGCAAAATAATATTTTGAATGTGTGATATGTTGGTTGTAAGTTCAACCATAAAACGCTAATTATCAAATATCTATAAACAAACAAATTCACTTTTATTTACAATTTGTGAAAACTGAAATACGTGTTTCTTAAATAGCTGTTAAATATTTTAACTGCATACAATATGCAGTTTAAAATATTTCTCAGGTCTTATTTTTTCAAAAATATTTTCAAAATCAGTACCATGAACATTACTTTTTCTGTATACAATTTTTGTTTTGATATTTTTTAAGTTACAACAAATTTTTTGAAACAGTAGCTTTAGATTATTCTTGTTAATGTTTTTGTTTTGTGTGTTTTGAGAAACTATTCCTTTTACTAGGCACATAGTATCATTTTATAAAACAATTGAAAATATTTCTGACGAGATACTGAAAATATATTCAAAATATTTTCTAGAGACATTTTTTATTTTAGTAAAATATCAGCAATCTGGTCAAGGATTGTCTACTCCTAGTAGAAAAGAAGATTATGGCAGAATTAATTGCTGGGGTGCTTCCTGAATATTTTTGTAATATATTACTGTTTAGCAAGACAAGTCCACTTGATTTACAATGGGAGACAAGAGGCTTAGTGGTATTGACATACTCAAATATCACAGATGAAGATTCCATGAGGTCACTGAATTAATTAACATTGTAATGAATGAAATTGTATTACAACCATGATATATCAGATATTCAAATGTTTTTAAAATAATTTTCTGTAAGATTTTCTATTTTTTATTATCTATTTGTTTATGACTGCTAATAGATATTTAGAATCAAGTTTCAGTTCAGTAAAAAATATTTTATTCTATTTCTTATCTGTCTTTTGATCTCCCTTCTGTGCCTATTTTGTGCAAATTTAGGTGCACTCTGTTTCTGCTGCAACATTCATTAATGAGATATATAAAAGTAATTGTCATGAAAGAATCTACTTAAATATGTACATTTTTAAAAAGCCCTTCATTCTCAATAATTTCTCTTTTCTTTTCTCGTGATTGTTTCTGTTCTATTTGTAACAAGTTGTATTGGCAAAGACAAAGTAACAAACTAAAAATTCCTGTACCAAAGAACCGAATATTGGTGTTTGCCTTTCTTTCAAATAAAGTATTACTATTTATTGCATTGTATGTGGCAATACTAAGATAATCTAATTTATCTTAAATTTTTATAATAAATAAATTAATTCTATATATTCTTATTTCTTTGCAAAAGACATTACACTTTCCTCAATGCTTTACAAATACTCCATCAAAATTACTTTGCCAGCACATCACTTCTGTATTGAATACACACATACATTTTTATTAAGTTACTCAAATACCATCATTTAAATAACTCCATGAAACACGAGACAAACATTATTTTTTATTTTCTGAGAAAATTATCAATTTGGTTGTCCAGTACTTCAGAAATATTTTCAAATTCTAAATAAGAATGGGAAAAGTAAAACACAAATAAACATAACATACAAAATGTGATTATTTTTTTGTTACCACTATTATTGGAACTCTAAAAAGCACTTGCAGTGGTTTCTTGACGTTGTTTGGGTATCATTTGAAGAATAAATGATAATTGACTTTCAGGAAGCACATTTTACAATTCTTGGTTCTTAATAACTACAAGAATTGTTTTCAAGATAAAGTAAAAATTATGGGTCTTATTCAGTGCATTATTGAAGAGTATTAATTACTTTAGTGAGTAAAAAGGGAGCATCATCAGGACATACAAATATAAGAACTGAAATTTCTGAAAAGTAAACTTCAATGTTTTAAGAATTTTGAAGAATATTATTAAACTACCTGTAATCAAATGATCATGCATCTCACTATTTCGGTCTCAAGACAGTCAAGGTCCAACTTAACATAAATATTAACTTATTTTGAAATGTATCATGTCTTAAACCACAATTTTTCAAAAAACCATGAAAAGTAAAGATACTTTCAAACCACCTTATACAATTTTTCAGCATCACAATCAAACTCGCTATCTTACAGTTTTAAAAGTCTAATGAATATTTCAACATATGTTGGAGAAACAAAGATTAAAGATCAGAATGTGTTCTTGAAAAATTACAAAATGTGTCCTTGTATAAATTTTGTACATTTTTTTGTCAAACTACTGATCAGAGTCTTTCATAGAACATAATCAAGGCAAGAAGTAGATTACGATAAAAAATTATTTTATCATTTAAACTGCTTCAAACTGAAAAATATTTAGAAATCCTTATCCCAACCTGAAAATTCATCAGGAGGAATATCCTTATTTCTTGGATACTTGTCAAAATAGCGAGTATCACTTTGTCCAGAAAGCTGTAATGAAAAGAAACAACAATTAGAAAAATTCAGTTTGTGTCATTACTATAACCTGTTGAAGAAGAATAATACGTAATAATATATGTATACGTAATATGTAATAATATAGTATACGTGGAGTAGAGGATAAAATTCATTGATTGACTGATTGTTCTGGGCATTGATTGTTATGGTCATTAGTTCCGATAGTGTAGTGAATGTTTTATCTTTGGGAGAAGGCGGTGTTCCTGCCCTACTAGATAGATATAGAGCTGACCTGGACCTGACCCCAGCCTGGAAAAGGTCTAATATCCCAACTGGCTTCTGGGCAAGAGTGGTTGAGGGTGTGCAGTGCATGTAAGAGTGAGTGCATGTGTGTCAGGGGAAAAGACAGCACAAGAAAGAGCTAGAAAAGATCATGTGTGGCCCATGGACTATTTCTTAAGGTACTACTCTGGCAAGATTCAAATTTTTCAAGTTCCACCTCTTAACTAATGAAAAGAACCCAGACAAGGAAGTTGTTTTCTATGTCGTTTGAAAGATTTTTTGTTTGAAATTTTTAATGATAGTAAGTTAGTAGTAAGTAATATTAGTAGTTTAATTATTGTTAGTAAATAGATTATTGCATATTCTGGACAATCTTGTAATCAGTGAGAAGAAACCATAGAATGTTTTGTGTGTTGGGATTTTAAATGGATTTTTAGAGTGGTTGTTATCAGAGTGTACGCAGCCATTCATAACAAATAATAATTTTCATGTTAAAGTATAGAAATAATTTTTAATATCACACATTTGTCAAGAAAAGAAAGAGTAAAAAGTCAGCAAAAATGCAGAAGGATCAAAAATAAATAATTCTTAATAACCTCCAACAAAAACAAAAGGAAGAGAAGTTTATCAACTAAAGACAGATGAGAAGGGAGAGTTTGTTCAAGATCGTACTTTTCACAGGAGAAGTCATGAGGAACGATTTTGATCTCAAATTTTATTATTACATGAACAGATTTCTTTCAGGATTTTGAACTCTCTTGGATATTCAATACAGATCCTTTATCTGGGGTTGCATGATAAATGTTCAGAAGAAAAATTATATTAAACCAAGGGGGAAAGAAAAATATGATTCAGCTAATAATATTATTCTGATGGCAAGTTTATCATGAGAGTTGACACTCAAGATTGAGGAAACACATGAAAAAGTTGATGTGCAAGAAGGGAAAAAAAAAAAAAAAACTTTTGAAATTTGACCTGGAAATTTGTGCCACAAAACATTTCATGATTATGAAAAATCTAAAAAAAGCATAAAGAAATCTCAAGATTTGTTGTAGAGACTATGCCATTAATTACACTGCCTGAAATATAAATGGATATTATCCAAACAACATAGTTTATCTAGTACATTCAAAAATAATATATAATTTTTTTGCATTAATGAATGAAAACTGATTTCACTTAAGAACAAATGTATACATATTTTTAAAAATTTTAATCAATAAATTTTAATACATAAGTATTCAATATATGAAATTAAATATGTCACTTTCTTTATATACAAAATTATATTATTTCAAGAGATAGAAAACTTTTATAAAACAAAATTTTGTTTGGGGTCATTTTCTTCCAAGAAGGCCAGTTCTGCTTGTAAGACACAACCTTTCCTGGGTTAATATATGTTAAACAGTACAAAAACTTCCTTATCTTCCTGGAAATAGATGACATATTTGCATTCATTTGAAATATCTAATTGTATCTTTAATATTAACAATTTAATACCAGACATACTGTGGTAATAATTAAAGTATAAAAAAAAAATTACCTGAGGAACTATGGGAGCTTTCATTGTGCCTTTTTGCAAAGCACTCCAATTGAATCCATGAAACCAACTGCAATCAAACAATTTTTTAGCATACTTTTCATACATCAATTTCTACTTCCAAGATATTCTATTAATTAATATATGTTTTAGAATAATAGTGGCTTATGTTGTTTAGAATGTAATTAAATTTGAATAAGATATACAAAACTACTAAGCACTATTTTAAATGAACATTTTTCATATTATTGGGAATAATAAATAAAGATTTATCAGAAATTAACAGACCATATTTGAGTCTTCTTATATTTCATTTTCATAAGTAAATACTGTGGTATAATCATCATGATTTTATTCTAATCTAATGTTTTATTCAAGTTATATTTTAATGAATAAGAACCCACACTTTACAAGTTTTAATGTAACTTTTCTTGTAGTTGCAAAATATATGTAGATTGTAGTTAGAAATGTATTTTTTGTATTAAAAATTAAATAATGTCTCTTCAAAATTCTGTCTTCAGAAATTTTTTAAATTCTCTCCCATCAAACTCAATGAAATAGAAATATTGGATGGACTGATTTATATTAATTGACACAAGTTGAAATAAGAGGAGAAAATTAAATAGTAATTACTACTATACCTTTATATAAATTACTTTCTTTGCAATGGACAACGTTCATTTTGAAGGCTCTAGCTGTATAAGATGGTAAAAAGTGTACCACTTGGAATTGAAAATACAATTTTTCTTAAGCATTGTGACCACGTAAAACATATTTTCATGAAGTTTTTCATATCTATGAAAAAATATTTTTCGTGGTCACAATCCTTAGGAAATATTTATATTTTGATTTCAAGTGGGGGCATTTTTTACCTTCTTATCCAGCTAGAGCCTTTACTACAAAACAATTTCTGACAATAATTTCTACTTATTACTGAGACTCCTGCTTCAGAATATGCTGATTCATTTTCAGTTAGTAATTTCTTATCAGCATTGACACTTCATGATCACTTCTAATATTATACACTCAATGGAGGGAAGAGGCAAACCACTACTTTGTCCATCAGCCCCGTAAAGGTGGAGAATATAAAGATATAAACATATAATAAATATGGCACTCATCATTTGATGATATTAAAAATTTAGTTGACATGTATAAATTTTTATTTATTTTTATAATATTATGCTAAATATTTACTTACTCATGATCTTTAATATCTTGCACTCCATTTCTTTGGTAACCAAGACGCTCTGTAGCCACAGCACGACATAACCTACGTATAAGACGGCTCGCGACTTTTGATACTTGTCTAGGAAAATGAACTGCTTCTATACCTCTGAGAATCATATTGTATGTTTTCATGTGGTCTGACCCTCTGAAGGGTGGCCTGAAATTGAACAGAATTATCATTAATTCTTAAAAATTGATGGTGATTTATATTTTCAATGCTAAACATACAGAATAAATTGTAGATTGTAGATGAGCAAAGATATATAAAATGTATCACACAGTTTCATTCAACAGGTTAATTATCACTTTAAATTTATTTTTAAATATATTTCTACAGAGAAAACATTAAAAGTTTATTTACACTAAACACGTGAATCGAGGATTTCAAGAATGAGGTATTTCAAGATATTCTGACATTACAAATGGCTTACTGAATAATATCCTTCTTTCAATACCCTCTAGCAGTACAGCAGATATTTGCAAAAATATATTAATTAGTTCAAAAACAAAATATGATAAGAATATTTTAATTTGATAATTTGTTATTTAGATGACCAGTTTAGGTAGTGATCTTATAAAACAGTGAATTACCAGTGACACTAGCATTTTGTAAGAAATGAAAGAAATAGCATATCTTTTTCTACATAGAATTGTAATTAGTATTAATGAACACTATAATTTTTGCTCAGAGTACTAATGCAAATATTACAAGAGCAGAGTACTGTACTCTTCTCTCTGTAATTTTTGGCTTGAGTCCTTTTTTCAGCATTCCTTACCCCTACTTGCTTAAGAATTTAGTTTCATTGACATATTCCACTTCAGAAGTAACTACAGGTAATTTCATCTCTCTTTCTTCCATTCCTTTTTGAGATCAACTGCATAGAAGTTTCTTAATATTGAAACCAAAGAAAATTAGTTGAGGTTAAGTGAGATTCATTCTGTCACAGGGTACAATGAGAACAAAATATTTTTTCTCATTTTCGGCATTACTGTCAGATGCAGTAAATATATGATATTTTGTCATTACCTGCCCACAAGAAGTTCATGCATAAAAATGCCTAATTCCCAGTAATCAACTGCTCTGTCATGTCCCTTGCCAAGTATTATTTCAGGAGCAACATATTCTGGAGTTCCAGCAAATGTCCATGTTTTGGAAGCTGGAGGTACTTTCTTAGCAAATCCAAAGTCAATCTATAACAAATGAAAATTATAATTATATTTTTTCCAGCTCTGCTTGGATTACCTTAATATAGCTTGAAGGTTGCCACCTGGGTAAGCCACTAGGTTCAAATGTAAACATGGTATAAAAATTAAATAACACTTCAGCATATGATCTTGATTCTAAATATTTTGCACACAATAGAATGATAGAATATTATTTAGATATTCCAGTCAAAAATGAATGTTAGCTTAGCTCCTTTGATATTTATTCTTTAAAGTTTTTTAAAAATTTATGTGAACTATAAATCAGAAAACTTGAAGATTTTATGAGATGTCAAACATAAATAAATAAAATAATAAATATAAAGAATAGCAAGAATCAGGCAAGAATTGAAAAGAGAGAGAAAATCTGGATGAATTGATACGAGATGGAAAGAGGGGGTTACCTCCAAACGATTTGTTATTCCCTGCTAAAAAATTCCTTGGACACAATTAATCCATGGAACACTTTTAGATGTCTCTTTTATGATTTCCACAATTTGAAATGCCTAAATCAAGGAAATTTTAAAAGAAAACTTTCCTAAAACAATCTTTAAATTTATTCAGACATATAGGTGAAAAGATGGTTTTCTTTTCAGTTGTAAATTCATTGCTGTTCCTCATCTTTCCGTGAATCCTTCACTAAAGAAAATTGTCAAATGGCCCCCTGGAAAAGAAGGAAAGGAAAAGAGGAAATGGAGAAAAGAGGAAAAGAGCACAGGGGAAGAAGAAAGGAGATAGGCAGGGGCAGATCTAAAAACGAATTTGTGAGGGGATTTGTGTGTGTGTGTGTGTAAGTGTGTGTGTGTGTGTGTGTGTGTGTGTGTGTGTGCGCGTGCGTATGTGTGCTTGGACATATGTGCATGCGTGTGTGTATGGTTTTAAATTTTAAAAATAGTAATAATTTGTCCTTAAAATCATTGAATTCAGATGAAATGACAAAGGATCAGGATATTATATTTGTCATTCTATGATAAAGGTATGAACAGACAGAATTCGAATAAAATTACTGAGTCATTCCACATCAAAACGCACACTCACAAAATGTCACTATTGTTTAGCAACTTGAAACCATTTTTATGAGTTCTAGGGTTGAAAATGGGTGACATATTTTTTTTTTTCTAATCCCAACTCTTTCAGAAATATTATCATTTACTTTCTCCGAAGAATCATGCACGTGCCTTTTTAAAACTGCTTTGTGCAAATACCGTTTTATTCAGAAAAATAAAATTACACTTCAATTTACGTATTACACTCATTGTTTACCATCTTCTTCTCTTTTCATGAAAGAAAAATAAAATTTGATACTGGGAATATTTATTGTCCAGTGTGATTTTTAAGAAAATTTTTTCTTACTTGAAGATGTAGTTCAGTGACTAGTGTGAATTAACGTCTTGACTACTTTGTTCCTTTTGTGCTATACTTCAGAGAAAGCAAAGATTTTAAAAATAAAAAAAATATTTCTCCTGGATGCCTGAATCATGACATGAATTCAATTCACCATTGACAGAGTAAACTCATAACACTTCTCAAGTAAGTTTATGACAGCGTTAATTTAACAGACACATTATTCGGATGGGGCCAGTGCCTAGTATTACAAAATAATGTGAATTAATGCTTCCAAAAAGATGTCTTCAATGTGTGTGCTGAATTGCATTGCTTTGCTTCACAACGTTTATGGAAAGGGACTTTGTGACGTAGTAGAGGGGGCACTATAATATTCTTAATAAAAGCTATCTGTCAATTCTGACAGGAACCACTTAATTTAACCAAGAAGTGGGTTGGGTAGGTAATAATGTGATGGTGTGTAAATAAGTGGGTTGATGATAATGTGAAGAACATTACCTTTATATTTTTAACAACACTGAATAATTAGAAAGAGGACTATTGCAACAATGATATAATAAAAAAACAGTAGAAGGCACAAAGAAAATACATAGATTCATTTCTTTATGAAAAGGTCAATTAACCATAATCTCGGGAAATTGAAGTAAGAGAAGTATAAATTTAATTAATTGTATTACATACTCTTATTCGTATTCATATTCTGTCTGTTTAATACTAAATTGAATCAGTTTGATACTTTTTAATTTAATTGATTATAAAGGTCATATGTACATAACAGCCACGTAGTAAGATGAGCGGGGATACATCTCTTTTTTGCTCTGGGAAAGTATATTAATGGTAATTATCAATTGCTGATGGCAAGTGTTTGAAGAGTGACGCTTTAGCAGACACAGCTGCGAAAAAGCAAGCAGACATTTCTATTGTATTCAATTTCTCAGATTTATCTCTGTGTGCCACTTTGTAACGTACCATACTTATGTAGAACTTTTTAGAAATTACAATGGCATTTCTTCTAATTTTTAAATTGTCAATTTGTGAAAAACATTAAAAATCAAATAGATCAAAAAATGATTTTAAGAAAATTTAATGTCTTCACTACATATATCAAATGAAAGAGCATCTTTTGTTCATTAAAGGTGCAAAATATTACATTTCTGTTACAATAACAACACAAGTTAAAAATGAGGAACTATAGAGATGAGAGCATTTTATCGAACATTTTGAAAATTAATATAATCTCGAAAAACAATATTTGGGAAAAAATAAAAACACACGTTTCATATTTTTGCTTATACTCTGCAGAAAAAAAGTTAAAAAATTTGGGATATCAAGGTCAAATTTTCCTTAAATTTGTGCGATTTGACATGGAATGCCTCTAGTGTCCAGGACTGAAGAATGTCGTCAGGATTTCACAAAATATATCTTAATTTTCTTTTAATTAGATTTCTTTCTCTTTTCTTCTTCTTCTTTTTACATTTTTTTCTCTTCTTATTACCAGTGCCATCTTCAGACACATGTAAGCGATCCATGCCCTATTCTTTTGTTTCAGGCACACAGTAATTGAGTAAAATGTCATAGCAATCACTTGCTTGGCACCTAGAGAGTCCTTATTCCATCAAATGTTTCTGGTTCCATTGGCCACACTCCAATACGTGGTAGTCATTGTGGCACCGCTTGTTAAGCAGAGTAAGAAAGATATATGAACTATCACTACCTTTGGAAATCAGTCGAGGATATTTTCCACTGGGATTAAATATAGCAAGAATCAGGATTCCCATTCATAACTAAAAGGTTAAGGACAGAACGCACAACTATTTTTTTGATGCATTTTAGATGTTTCTACATTTTTTTTCTCATTTTTATTTATCCTGCACTTTTACCATTTTTTTCTCTGGTATTTTTTATTTTTTTATATTTTACATGCCCCCCCCCCCTTTGATCCGACACTGTTTACATTGGTAACATAAATAACAGCTTGAATTATGCATCTGAATGTAATACTATAAACAAATCTACATCATTTTTCTTTGATTTTAGGGCATTTTAAAAACATTTAAAGAGTATTTTATTGATCATTTTTGACAATGTTTTAGGTCATCAAAATCTGCCCCTTAGTTATCACATTTCCACATCCAAGGATACTATAATGCCCGACTGTGAATCGAGTGTGATTGGTACATTAAGATAGTTTTAAGTTTTTTATTCAAAATATTTTGGTCAAAGGTGTCATATTACAGATTATGTAGAATGACGCAGACTAAACTCAGCTCATGCTTCGATATGTTTTTATTCGTTTTAATGATTATCCGAAAATATCTTTACGAAGTAGAAAATTATGTAATGCTGCGTTAGAACAACGGTGAATTATCGACAGAAAATCTCTTATTACACAAATTTTTTAAAGTAAATTACCATTTAGAATGAGGTTTTACTGTTCTTTAATAATGTTCTTGAAGTAATATTTCTGTTTTACAATGAGGAAACCGAAAAATTAAGAAAATTTCAAAAACATGTAATTTGGGTGGTGATATGTGGGAGTTGTCAAGATTATGTGGCCAGTTTGTATAGTTAGCTGAGAGCAGAGGAAATAGAAAACTAATACAGAAAAGTCTGTGCCATTCTGTAGCATCACTAGTTTATAAATATCTCCAAGTTGGGGGAGAAATCTATCAAAGTGAATGCAATGTTTCTGAAAACCCATACAATATACTACTGAATTCATTCTAATTCATTCTAATAACGCAATTAGGCTTTTGAGTAATTGAAGTTCCAAATTGTAATGAGGTTTTCCTGGTGTATATAACTATGTATCTGTATATACCTGTCGGTTGCAATGATGGTGGAAGAAAAGATGATCATAATGAACACGGCAGAGGAGGGCTGGTCGGTCAGGGCAAGGCACGGCAGGGTAGCATGAGAAGGAACATGGTGGAGCTGGGCAGGTGAGAAGGGGCGGGATAAGATCGGGGGTGTCAAGGCAGGGCAGGTTAGATTAGGGCAAGTCAGAACAAGTCAAGGCAAGCCATGGCAGATATACCCTATCAAATATAATTATTTCTTTTCCTGGCAAAATGAAGGCTGTAATAAATACCTCAGAAATACTGGGTAACAGGATAAAAATTAATAAACATTACTGACACAACTTACCATTTTTACGTAACCCTTTGAATCTAGCATCACATTTTCAGGTTTAAGGTCCCTGTACACAATATTTCTTTTATGAAGAAAATCAAAAGCTTCGACAACACAAGCTGTCATAAATCGAGCTGTTGCTTCTTGAAATAAATGATGTTTCTGGAGCATTGTGAAAACATCACCTCCAAGGCAAGGTTCCATTAAGAAATAAATATATTTATTATCTTTGTATGTCCTATACAACCTGAAAAATATTTTTAAAAATAATGTACATCTTAAAATATATTTCTAAGAATCAAATTAAAAAATTGTTATTTAAATTCTCCACTTATGAAACTGTAATTTCTTTAAAAGAAGAGGTATAATATAAAGATAATAATATAAATAAAGTGTAATAATTTGTCAAAAAATTGAATTGTCTGATATCATAATCTACCAATTTATAAAATGTGTACCTACAATATAGTACAATTATTGAATTATTTTAAACAGCGATATCAATTCAGAATATTTTTTTTATGAAATGAGAGATGAGTTTTTTTTTATATTAATACATTTCACAGTGTCACCAAAAAACCTTAAAGATTTCGGTCCTACCCAAAATATAAATAGGAAACATTCTTCAATGAACTTTTATTCAAATATTGAAAATGTGAGTTTAGTTTTAATTTTGTTGCTCACATTCAACTTATGCCTCACCTTATTACAAATGGGCTCTCCTTGCATTCTAACATTACTTTCTTTTCATTATATACATGCTGCTGTTGCTGTTGCTGCACTACATGAACCTTCTTTAGACACTTCAGAGCAAATGTTTTCTTCTCTCTGCGGCTGTGAACAAGCTCTACTCTGCCAAATCCACCAACACCAAGAGTTGAAATATGTTCGAGATCTTTTAATGCAATATGAGTATATTCTTCTTTCACTAAAACCAAGAATTAATTATGTAAGTACTCTGAGCTGAAGTAGACAAGAAATTCAATTTTATATCATCTGTCACATAAAATGTTTTCAATATTTATTAATGCAAAAATTATTTATAGTTGTCTATTGAATCATGTTAAACTGCAACATTTAATACATTCATTTAATGAAATCTTTAAACTGTATTTGTATGTACATTAATTACTATGTATATTCTCATGGATATCTCAGAATCAATGTCACAAACTTCAAGAGCTTGTAAAGGGATTGAAGCTAGACCCTTGTTTCAAGTGAACAAGTGGTGGGAAATTTCATATACTAATGGAGTTACACATTTACACTTATAATGAAGTTGCACATGTGACATTTGATTGTTAAGCAACTTCTCAGAAAATTATGTTGTGATAGTACACAAAATCCTTGACTGAGTGTGAATGTGACATACACACTAATACAGCCAAGAGATTTTATGAACCAAATGCCAAACACCAGTCACGATGGGTAGGTAACCAAACAGGAATGTTATATTCAGAATTGCAAAAGGCTTATTATGATATATAGGATTTCCTGCTATGTGTTAATAGGTAAAAAGTGATTATCTTCAATCCTCTACATACCATAGAAGTGTATTACTGTATGTAAGATTTTGAGATTTCTGTATCCATGAAATTTAGTTAAAACATTTTAAAGAACTCATTGTTTATTATATCAATAAATCACACTTAATAACAGATACATTTGCAACCAATTCATAAAATATTATTGTTTGCAATTCATATGCCATAATCTACAAACAGTAATTTACATCCTCACTCAGAAATAACCAGAGAAGGTTTCTACAGAACTAGTGATACGGATGACTGTTCTTGGTGGGAAAGAACTGAGAAATTGCAAATGTGAAAGTCAATTGTGTCTTGTTAGCTTAATCGTTTTGGTTAGTTTCAAGGACATAATGCAAATCCAAACAAAGGAGCCAGATTATGGTGATTGGTGATATACAGTCTAGCTTTGGTGTAAGTGATTTTTGGTTCCAACTGGAAATAGAACCACACACTTTTGGGTAAAAATATCTGAATGGGAGAAAATTCAGAACCTGTGGTTTTTAGAATGATAAAAGCACTAAAAAATGTTATTATTATGTTACTAGTGCTGCTGCTGCTGCTGCTGCTGCTGCTGCTCTTTCTGATGCTGTTGGATTACTAATGAATTTTCTTTTAAATTTAAAAAGACATTTTGCCAAAAGAAATATTTCTTGGGGATGGGTTAACTCAGAATATCATAAGTTTGAGGTTTTAAGAAACAGAATGGAAGAGTGATAGAAGTTATCATATCCAAATGCTTTTGTCACTAAAACAAGGAATTCATATTTGAAGTGTCCTGCACTCAATTTACAATATGTTACAACACGTAAAACAAGATGTTGAAATAAACCAGTAAATATAATAAATATTTATCATTTCAGACAACATAATAAAATGGGAATTAATATATCTAATAAAATAATATTTCCTATACATGTGTAGCTGCATGCACACACATGCATACACACATCATGAGCATGAAAATAAATATTTTGCTGCAGGAAACTAACTAATCTAAAATCCCATTTCTACAATGTGCAGTATTATAATAATAGACTGCAATGAATGTTACTGTCCTTCTTCATCACAGTAACATTGGTACAAAAAATATTACTGGTGTAGCGAGAGCTGATGAATATGAATTCAAAATTGAAGTTAAATGACTAAAATTTAAAAGAAAAAGCCCACAACAGACCCATGAGATATACAACTAAAATATGATGTAGGACAAAATGTATATAAATTTAGATAAAATGTATATAAAACAATTTGGGTTTTTTATTCTTCAATTTATATATCAGTCTTTTTTAATATATTTTGTTAATTCCTTTCTCCTAAACTATTTAATCAAAGCTAGTTGGTTATGTTGAATCTAGAGTTATTGTCTATTACTACAATATGAGGCGGGTGACTGATGAATTTCCTGAAGAAATCATAGCAAATTTAAATTAGAACAGCCATGATGCAACAGTCTCTGGAGAGAGAGATGCAGCTGGTGCATTGCTCTGGGGCTTTTAAAACTCAAGAAGGCCAATGCAGCCCAAATTGTCCCATATTTTTTATTATAATTTGAAAATGAATTGAATTTTTGAATCATTGAATTTTTATTGTATCATGTCTTTTGAACTTTGCAAGTTAATACGTTTTCAAAATAAAAGTAACATGTGGGTCATGTAGATTTTATCAAGTTAAAACAATATAGTCGATTGTGAGAAATAACAATGTACACAATATATGACTAGAACATTTTTAAAGGGCCGACATACTATCTTCTTATAACTGAGACCCAAGTTTTCTCCTCAGCAGCCTGGCGCAATATTATAACCGAATTAAAATATTATCTTTATTTTGTTAATTGTCAACTAACTAATACCTTCTTGAAATTTGCCATAGATTTTCTCAAATAAAAAAGAGATATCAGCGGTGGTTTATGACTTAAAGCGTGGTCCACCAAAAAATGTGGTGAGATGGTATAAATTTCACTAATAATCCCAGCTGTCTAGGAGGCTCTGTGTATACTTGAAAACAACCTAGAATCCTTCCACAATTTAATGGAGAAGAGTGCTCTACCCCAACTCTGAGAATATAAAACGTTGGTTTTTCATAACATTTTATTAATAATGCTTGTGTGAAAATTGAAATCTATATATTTTCAACTTTAATGCAAATAAACACTAAAATTGATTGTAATTGACTAATTAATCTGAAATGTTTAATTGAAGAGACAGGAAAAGATAGTGCTACCCAGATGCCGATAATTTTAGTCAGCCATAGAACAAAAACCTTTTTTGTAAATTCAGACATGTCTTAGTTTCTATATACACTTCTTGCTGCTTTCTACATATATACTTTAGTTCTATGTACATGTTTGTTTAGTGTGTGATCAGTGTCACATTCAGAAAGTTTTTCAGGAGAGGGGCATTTTCAATTGAGACTCCCAAAAATATATTTAAATAATATATTTTTTAAAATTGTTAACTTCAAAGAAATGTACGATTAATATAGTTATAATGGGAATACTACATTCTATTGATTAATAAGTGATTCCGAGAGCGTCAACTGCTAAGGTCATTAGTTCCGTAAGTGCAGAGCTTGTTTTGCCGGCGGTGGCAGTGATCTTCCCCCGTTGGGTGAATAGATCCGGCGCCGATCTACCGTTGGCTAACGGGTTTTACCCTAACCAGGTATCTCTCAACAGGGTGGCACAGCCGCAGGGACTAGCTGCCTCCCCTACGTGTGCAAGGGGGAGGATAGGAAGAGGAAGGAAATATCGCGCGCGGTCCGTGGCTCGTTCGTTAAAGTACTGCTCCGACATACGCCTGGTACTGATCGGAGAAACCACGGAAAACTACCCATCAGAGCACCCTGCCGCTAGAATTTTCCTCATCACCGGGCTTGAAGTCGACCTAGGTAACTATAGCCAGTGTCGAAAATCCTGAAACCGTCGGGACTAGAACCTAGGACCTCCCGGTCAGAGGCACTGCAGTGACATTAGTTGATGCTCTGAGCCACCTTCCCCGGTTCTACTTTAAATATGAGATCTATCTATAATACTTATTTTGAGCAAAATTATATAAAAAAATTAATTACAAAAATAATCAATGTGCCATCTCCTCGCTCTTGGATCTGCCGGTAGTTTCGATCATAATGGTTTGTTCCCAAGATACATTGTAGGATCTTTATTTTGAATTTATGAAATGAGAATTAGCGCTATCTTCCCCAGATCTCTTCAATTTGACAAATATATCTTCATGAAGTACCCACGCGTTTGCTGCATCCAATTTGCAGCTTTCTCATTCAGTTTGGTTCCCCCTGCCCTTTATGGGGCTCGTCAGTTAGGAGTAGGCTGGTAGGGTAGCGGAGTAGGCTCCGACGCGGGCGTGACGGTCTGAAGGGGAATCGCTGGCATCTTCCGCACGGACCCCCTTCCCAAGGTTTTGAAATGTTGATTAGTTGAGATGTTGGCTTTGAGATGTTGATGGAGCTATAAGGCCCGAAATGTCTTGCCGCCCTCCGCTGGGAGCCAACGGTTTGTCATTTACATACGTGGCGCCTAGCAGCATCTTGGAATTAACCACCGGGCCTGCAATATATTCACGGATCATTCTCTCGAAACTACATTGAAGTTGGGGGAAAGAAAAGAAAGCAAGAAAGAAAGAAAGAAAGAGAGAAAGAAAGAAAGAGAGAAAGAGAGAAAGAAAGAAAGAAAAGGAAAGAAAAGGAAAGAAAGAAAGACGTTTGTGTGTGAGTGCGTGTGTGAGAAAGAGAGAGAAAGACAGAGAGCTAGCGAGAGAGATAGAGAGAGAAAGAGAGACAGAAAGAGAGAGAGAGAAAGAGAGAGAGAAAGAGAGAGAGAAAGAGAGAGAAAGAGAGAGAGAGAAAAGAAGAGAGAAAGAGAGAGGAAAAGAGGAGAGAAAAGAGAGAGAAGGAACGGAGAGAGAGAAAGAGAAAGAGAAAGAGAGAGAAAAGAGAGAGAAGAAGAAGAGGAGGAGAGAAAGAGAGAGAGAGAAAAAGAGAGAAGAGAGAAAGAGAGAGGAAGAAAGAGAAGAGAGAAAGAGAGAAGAAAAGAAGGAGAGAGAAAGAGAGAGAGAAAGAGAGAATAGAGAGAGAGAAAGAGAGAGAGAGAAAGAGAGAAGAAAGAGAGAAGAGAGAGAAGAGAGAGAAAAGAGAGAAAGAGAGGAGAGGAAGAGAGAAGAGAGAAGGAGCGAGAGAGAATCAGATAAGTAATTATGCAATTGAAATACATTGCATTTTTATATGAACTAAACTGCAAAATAATTTTTTTTGTTGAAAGCACAAACAGCTACAACTGGCGTGGAAGCCACTGTTAATTCTATGTTCTATACTCTTTTTAAACTTATTTTCTGAAAAAATACTCAAATAATTATAACCGCTACTTTGCACCTAAACTAATTGCAAA